GCCATTCTGATATTATAATCGTAATACTTACGAAAGATATCTGTGACAATTGTGGCCACTTTGGACGTTCAGTTCTTGTTTCACAATCATTTGTGTCATCATTTTGTATAAATGGAAAAAATTGAATATTGTGCTATAATTAAATTCCTGCATTTGAAAGGCAATACGTCTACGCAAATTAAAGCCGAGTTGGACGCTGTTTACGGGGACTCTGTCCCATCATTTGCCACCGTGAAAAGATGGGTAGCTGAATTTAAACGTGGTCGTACCAGCAGCGTTCGGGACGGCCAACTGCGACCACCACCGATAATATCGAAGAAAGGAGCTTAAGAGACAGAAGAGAAAGGGCTGGAGGACTTTGATTGGCACCTTTAGTGCCAAAACTCTAATTGCGCAGATCTGGTCACTTATCAGGACCTTTAAGAGGCACGAATTGGCTGGTGCCTCGCATCAGATATCTGGAAACAAAGCTGAAAAACAAAAAATTGAGGAGCTCATAGTGAATCTCACTCCGGATTCCTATCTTAATCTTGGCCACAACACACTGGAAAACACAGATTTTGGACCTCAGGGGAGGAATTCCGAGGAAAATAGTTTAGATGCCCCGTTCACTAAGGACGAGCTTCGCATGGCTTTGGCAAGTACTAAATCCGATTCAGTACCTGGACTGGATCAGATAGACTACAAGATCATTCTGGCCATGCCTGACACGTACCTGACTACTTACTGGATACATATAATGCTATTTTAAGATGCGGTGTTTTTCCCCCTCTTGGAGAAAATCGCTCGTGGCGTTCATTCCTAAACCAGAGAAGAAAGGCTACAGGCCAATCTCACTTTTGTCGTGCCTTTTAAAAGTTTTGGAAAAAATGATTCTGAGAAGGCTAAAATGGTATCTGGAATCAAAGCCAATTCTTCCGCCAACCCAAATGGGTTTCAGACCTTTGCGCTCATGTACAGGCTTAATCACCATTACTAATCACGTACATGCCTCCTTTATAAGAGGGGAAGTTACAGTCGCCGTTTTTCTCGATATCCAGGAGGCCTTCGACAGCGTAATACCAGGCACTCTTGCAGAAGATTTGAAAGACATTGGAATTCCAGCTAAGATGAGGCGATATATTTGGATCCTGACGTCGGAAAGAGAAAACTACTTCGTGATGGATGGAGAACTTGGGACACAAGGATACTCCACGTGCTAAGGCTCTGTCCTTAGTCCCACATTGTTTGCGGTTTACCTTAAGGACGTCGATGCCTGCTTGGACGTTAACACATGTATTCTCCAATACGCCGATGATCTGGTCGTTTATTCTTCCTCTAAGTCAGTAGCCAAAGCTACGCAATCCCTTCAAGTCTCACTTAATAATTTGTGTACTTATCTTAACCAGAGGGGTATGGAATTGTCTACAACCAAAACTAAGCACATGTTCTCTGATAAAAAATTGCGGGCGACACACATTCCGGAGGTGCATATCGCTGGGCGAAGGATTGAGACGATGAGCACAATGAGGTTTCTGGGAGTCACCTTGGATCAGAAGCTAGAAAGCAAGAAGCATCTAGAAACGGTTACACAAAGGGGCAGAGTCATAGTTGGTGTTGTTGCCTCGTTGGCGGGTGTTTGGTGGGGATTGCATCCGCAGATGTTGCTCACTGTATATAGGGCTGTTTTTAGGAGTTCTATAGAGTATGGCTCACAAGCTTTCACATTCGATAGTCAGTCTACTTTTTGCTCGGCTTGATAAATTACAATATAAGATCATCCGGAAAGCCATGGGCTACAGGATTTCAACGTCAATCAACGTGATGTTATACGAAGCCAAATAACAGCCGCTCAGACAGAGATTTTCGCTCCTCATGGCTAAATATCTCTTCAAGGCTTGGTCCAAGAAATCCGGTACATGGAAAATATTAAAGAACTTGAGGAGGCGGCCTCTACTCTTGCTGAAAGGGTGAAAGCAGTAAGCAAGTCTCCATCTTTTAAGCAATACATAATATACGGTGGTTCTTTAAAAAACATCTACTGTTCCGTCTTCCTTCCTGCATATTGTTATAAATATGATTCTATGGTATTTAGTCCTAATTGCCGATTCGACATGAAACTTGTTCTTAAGGAGGCCACAAGGGAGCAGATATCTGCGGAATTTCATAGTCGTACGCAAGGGATGATGAACGAGCAATTGCCCCCTACTTCTCTTTACACTGACGGATCCACGCTGGAAAAAAACGGTTCCTTTGGGGCGGGCATATTTTCTCCGGAGCTCGGTCTCAGCGAGTCTTACAGTCTGCCATCAGAGTTGTCAATTTTCTCCGCGGAGGCTTGGGCTTTATTGGAAGCTGTCATACATCAGAGGATGAAGGTTGATCGGGGCTGTGATATTCACTGACTCTAAAAGTGCTTTGGAAGCGGTCCCAGCAGCGCAACATGAGAGCGATGATTATATTGTTCATCAGCTGAGGAATGAGCTGTATCTGGCCTCTCAAGATGACATAGCTATTACCCCATTTTGGGTACTTGCCCATAAAGGCATTCCGGGCAATGAAAGAGCGGACGAGTTGGTTAAGTATGCTACCACGAAGGGAATAAGAAGAGATTTATTGATTCCACATCCAGATGCGGTCAAAGCTGTAAGGGACGGCTCTAAGGCTAAATACGTGAAATGGCTCGAAGAAGCAGCAACAATTAAAGGCACTCTTCATACAAACTGTTATCAAAATACTTCTCCACATGTATGGTTCGCTAAGTCCTCTTTTAAAAGAGGTGACATCATGTTGATTAATCGAATCAGAAGCAATCACTACAACTTAAATGAGAGCTTACATCGCAAAGGAATAATCCCCTCGACGTCTTGTACATGCTGAAATCCGAAGCAGCATATGAACCATGTTATATTCCACTGCTCAGAGACGAGAAACAAAGCCGTGGCTCTTATCGATCACTTGAGAACTATCAAATCCGATTGAGATGACAACATTTTTCCTTTTCTTAAACCCCTTCTCCCGGCTTGTGTAGGAGACTGCTCGCATTCTTCGAATCTTCAGACCTACGTATATAACCTTCCATAAGTATTCGCGTCCCCTGCTCTTATCGTGAAGACGTGATCTCGGGGGTTGCTGGGAGGGGGATTGCCGGGGACGGCGCCGTTTGGCTGCGGCCCCGGCGGGGGACCCTTCCCCCCCACTTCCTTTGTTACAGGACGCAGCAGTGGAAGGTTGGCGGTTTCCCTATTTGTTACTGGCTAATATGGTTTTGTCCACGGAACCAAAGGCCAATCAAAAGCCAAGAAGAAGAAGACCTCCTATCACTGATTAGCGGTACGCATAATGTAAGGCTACAATGACTACGTTTACACGCACTGGTAAAACCATTTTAATAAAAACTGTTTTAGTTAAAACCGGTGTTAGATGTCTCTTAATACAGATGTTATTAAAACCGTTTTAGTAAATCCAAACCTCTTCTGAAACAGGTTTGGCATTATTAAACCGTTTTACAAAAGTCATGTAAACGGTCTTCAATTGGTTTAACATATCAAAATTCGATGTTACCAACTTTAGACGTTAAGGTTAAGAAATGACAAAGGATATTTCGTCTCAGGTTTCGTATCAGGTTATATAAAGCTACTTTATTTTTGGCGGAGGTGAAATATGCCTAATCGTGTAAACAGGCACCAACACAGATTTTAATTAAAACGGTTTTTACTAAAACCGTTTTTACTAGTGCGTGTAAACGTAGTCAATATGCGAAGTAAGCTTGGTTTAACCCCGGATCTACGATAGGGTTTTAAGCCTTAAGCTATAAGAAGTGGGCGAATCACAGTCGATTATTCTCCTTGGATTCAACTGTAATTGATAAATTTCTTACGACTTAAGTCTTAAAACACCTATTGTAGATCCGGACTTACAGTCGAATCCGAGGAGAATAATCGACTGTTGCCTGGTTTATGCTTCGATCTTAAAATCCTAAAATTCAGCCAATGGAATAAAGATTTCAGTTAGGACCAATTAAGATTGGAAGTCCTATTGGCTAAATTTTAGGATTTTAGTATTAAGACCGAAGCATAAACCAGGCATTATACATATTATTTATAAACAATACGTAGAGCTCTTCTTTAGATGTGCGTCTGGTGCGTCAGTGAAAAGTTTCTAAACCATTGAAAAATAAAGACGTTCTTTTTATTTTATTTGTAAAATATTGTAAACTATTTCCTAGCTATCCAGTAACTTTCGACTAGTTACAAGTCAAGTTGGTAAGGGAGAGGTCGCTACTGAGCGCTATTGCTGCGATCTCTAGCCCCAGCAGGTGGTGACCCCTGCCGGTTCCGCCTGACAGGACATCAAGACTTAGGGTGCCATTACATGCAGCGCGGAAACGCGGAAGAGATAGTAACTAGCCTTTACTAGATTCCCGCGTTTTCGCGCGTTCTGTTCCGTCTGTTTTCATTGTCTTATATTACATGGAGCATATTTTGAGCGGAAAAGCGGAACGGAGAATTATAAAATATTAATTTTTAACGGTATTTATTGATTAAAATGCTTGTATTCAATAGATAAGCTGAAAAGATAAGCAGATTAATAAAAAGTGCAATGAATTAAGTGAACATAATGTTAAAAAATGAATACAAATGTCTATTTGTCACCATACCGTTCCGCTTTTCCGCGTAAATTGTGCTCCATGTAATATGAGGGTAAACAAACTCGCGGAACGAGAGCGCGTCAAAATCCGTTGTCAACGCGGAGGCTGTATACAGTGAATACGATCAAATTTCAGAGTAGATTGAAAAATAAATCTTTTATATACTTCGATTCTTTTCAAAGTGGCTGTGTAATCAGTAATAATGGATCCAAATATCATGCTGATGGTCATTATGAAGTATCTGAAACAAGCAAGAGATGAACCGATACGATACGCTGAGATAACTATGCAAAAAGTAATTCGTCTATTTTATTTGTACATGCGTTACAAGGAATTGCAAGATGACAGAAAGAACCGTGAAATGTGGGTACGGCCTATTTTTACGGAGAGGAGAAGACTTCTGCAAGGTGACAGCGACAATCTAATTGTGGAGATGCGATTGGAGGATCCGAATAAGTACTTCAACTACCTCAGAATGTCAGCTGTAATCTTCAACGAGTTGCTCAATATTGTCGGACCTTTGATCGAAAAGGAAAATGTAATTCGGAAACCGATACCGGCCAGAACGAGATTAGAAGTGACTATACGATGGTTGGCATCTGGTGACAGCATGACATCGTTATCGTATGCTTATCGCATTGCCCAATGTACGCTATCACGAATAATTCCGGAAACTTGTGAAGCAATTTGGCTCGCCCTAAAGGAAAAGTTTATGATTGATCCAACCGAAGACAATTGGAGAACAATAGCAGAAGACTTTGCGACAACATGCCAATTTCCAAACTGCATAGGCGCTATCGATGGAAAGCATGTCGTAATTCAGGTACATTATGAATTTATTAATATTAATTCAGGTTCATTGATAATGCAATGATGTATGAAGCTTTTGAAATTATTAATGTATGTTATCACAATAATATGATGTTTTCCAATTGCAGGCACCGCCTCGTAGTGGTTCCTGCTACTACAACTACAAAGGAAACCATAGCATAAACCTGCTCGCAGTAAGTGATGCCAAGAACCGCTTCACAATTGTTGATATTGGAACTGAAGGGAGGCAAAGCGACGGAGGTGTTTTTGAAAGCAGTGGATTACCGCATCTATTTCAGACAAATGCTCTCCATATCCCTCCACCTACGCGTCTGAATAATATGGATTTCGAGTTTCCATACGTTCTATTGGGAGATGAGGCATTCCCCCTGAGCACACATATGATGCGACCATACCCTCGGAGTCGACGGCTGAATATCAGCCGAAAAATTTTCAAGTATCGCCTGAGTCGAGCAAGAAGAACGGTTGAATGTGTTTTCGGGATTTTGGTTGCAAGATGGAGAATATATCGTCAACCTATTCTTGCATGCACATCTACTGCTGTAAAAGCAGTACAGGCCACGGTTATCTTGCATAATTTTATTATTAATCAAGAATTAGACTTACCACTTGCAGAAAGACAGTACTGTAATCTACAAGAAGAAGAGCGCAACCTCTCGGCTACTAATGAACTTACAGACATACGTAATAGCAGTTCGCGAAAGTCTAAAGCACTGAAGATTCGAGATAACTTTGCTCACTATTTCGAGCATGTAAATCCTCTACCGTGGCAGTGGGACAAAGTTTTAACTAACAACTTTTGACAAGTATTAATATTGTTTTAAAAAGTATTTCACGGCACAGCATTCGTTTGTTATCTATTTTGACGATATTCAAACTCTTTGTACAACAACATAATAAAAATATATTTTATTCCTTATGACAAATACAAAAAGTTGAAAATTTATAATATTAAAAACAAATATTTTTCACTGGGCGTTCTCCCTCTCCAGAAGCTGTTCATCCTCCTCCGCTATAGCAATATCCATGAGCCTTCTTTGCAGGTTTCTGCGTCGTATGTAGGATAGTCGGCGTAAAAGGTCGCCAAGCTGGTCCAAATAACTGTCGACTATGTCTCGTTTCTTGGGCGCTTCTTCATCGATGATCCTAAGAAATTTGTTCTCGATCTCAGCTTGCCTTTGCAATTCTGTAAATAATAATATATTGTTAAAAACAAGGATTTAGTGAAGTTATTAATTTCAAATTTAGTGAAAAATACGTTTCAAAGTTCCTGCGAGAGCTTTGAAACGTATTTCTCCAAGACCGTAGGTCAATGCGTAAGAAATCCTCACTTCGCTACGATAGACAATAGAAAATTGCCACATACTTGTATTTTTCGCCCCTATCGATGAACTTCGGGATGTTCGAGATGAGGATTTTTCTGCTGATGATGGACATGCAGAATCTGATAAATCATCACTAATATATAGCATGTGATCATCGGCAGGCTTGTCCACTTGCATGTCATCGTCAACATGCTGATGGGATGAACTCGCCGCTTCCAAGAGGTGCTGGACGGAGCTGACAGTCCTGAAACCAAAACAATTTTACAAATTTCAAATCCAATTGTACACAATTAGAATGTTTGTTAAATGCCTGTTAATAAACAATAGCCTAGTTCTTCTTTGTTCTCATTGGCTGGTAAAAATACGGACCACGGTACAAGTGTAGAAAGTATAGACAAGAAAAACAGACGTAATGAATAAATACTTACGATGCTGTTTTGACGGTATCGTCCAGAAATCTCATTTTTTCATAATGCGCGAATGAGCTTTTTACAGGATGGCCAGCTTCCGCCCCCGATCCGCTTCGCACGTATCCCTGCATTTTCTTCCGAGCCTTCATGTAAGAATCTCGGAGGTGTTTCCATTTTTGTTTAATTGTTTCCATAGACAGGGATCCTACGATTCCACCAGAGTTGTATATAGAAGAATCGTTTATTATTTACTTTTATACGCAGATATGCATGCAGGTAATTAAAAAATGATCTTACCATCAAATATATTCATTATCTCTTGCCACAGACCGTCTTTGTTTAATTTTGTTCTCTCGCTGGGCGGTATTGAATGGTCCCACAAACCCTTTCGGACCCGCACTAACTCAATTAGCAACTCATCTTGATTGAGTGGACACGGCGATAAAGATGTGGACTGGGCAGCTCCTTCCTTTGAATGCGGCAAAAGATCTTCACTTTCGTGTCTCTTTCCTTTAAAATAAATAAATAAATAAACAATGATTCAAATCGCAGCAGAAATTACTCAAAGAATTTTGTTAACACGTACTCATAGTGACAACGGCATTGTCATCAACTTTAATAACATGGACATATTTGTCGTATGTTTCGAAGCAGTGGTGGTTCAAAATCGTTCCACACGACCCACCTCGTAAAATGTCCCCGCAGTAGCCACACTTCGTTGCCTGCGAACAAATATACAAAGTGAGGTTATAACTTCATTCAGTAGGTTGTTCACTTCATTTTTGTGTTTCCTTACCCCTCTTGAAAAAATCCATGTGGATTTTTCAATTTTTAATTCACCTGCTATTAAAAATAAAATAAATGTTAAATTTAACCTAGAATTAAAGATTGAATAATTGAAAACGAAATGGATTTTTTCAATAGGGAGGTCATTTTTTACATTTACAAAACATTATGTTTATTAAATATTACAAATTATCAAAATACTTACAGGGCCTTCCATTACCAGTTTTTGTTGCATATTTGTAATTTTTATTCGACGAGCACGTATACACATTTACTGGAATATGACTGTAATAGCGGATTCCGCGTTTCCGCTAAGGCAATGAAAACAAACGGAACAGAACGCGCGGAAACGCGGGAATCTAGTAAAGGCTAGTTACTATCTCTTCCGCGTTTCCGCGTTTCCGCGTTTCCGCGCTGCATGTAATGGCACCCTTAAAGACGTATGCGCGAGAAGACGGAATCTTTCCCTCTTCGCCACAGGACGGGACACTACTCATGTAATACCGTATAATTACGCGTTGGAGTACGGCTCGGAGTGCGTAATAAATCGGATATGGTGTACCTGGCGAAGGAAGAAGGAACATGCTGATGTGTGCCGGTCACATCTGTTGTCAACTACGAAGTTATCTTTACGGTTTTGTAAAATCAGTGCGCCGTGTATTAATATAATAAATGGTGTATTCGCATTGGGGCGATTCCCCAATAATAATAAAGGACCTCAAGGTTTTTCCTGGACACACAATAATCGCAGAAATCTTCATTTTGACCGCATTTCCATCCAGACATAGAGTTTTGGTATCTAAAATCCCATTTCCTTGTAAATTCGGAAAATACTAGGATAATAGGACACTAGATCTCTAAAAATTCCAGTAACAAACTTACAGTTTTAGAAGCGGAATATAATACTCAGTTTTCGTGTGATATCATGAAAATACCAGCGAAAAGGGGCGGTAACGTCAAGGTGACTGTAATTGTTGACTCCTGTGGTATGATCACGCGGCGTCAAGATGATACAGGAACAACTAGAAAAACTCTCCATAGCACAACTCAAGCGAGAAGCTCATAAATATGGATTAAAAGAGGTACAGAATGGCAGAGGGGAATTACTAGAAGCAATAATGGATCATTTAGAAAGGAATGGCCCAGGAACGACTCTGTTAGAGGAAGCAGGAAACAGTCAAGAGGACATGCCGACAGGGGAAGAAATGGAGGAGGAAGCGGCTCAAGCAGAAAGGCATAAAGGAGCAAGCCCTTCATACACCTCTTTAGAAAGGATGTTCTCAACTTTCCTTACCTTGTTTGATGAACAGCTGAAGCAGCAACACCAGGAAATGATGAGTCAATTCCAACAAACACGCCAGGAAATGGCATAGCGCCAGAAAGAATCCGAATCACGATGGGTCTCAAGGCGAGAAGAAACGGTGCAGGTACATAATGATGTCCTAAACCGAGAAGCAACCTCCGTAAGTTCGATAGGTGCGCACGGTCAGAGGGCCAGAACGCCGAGTTCGATAGATTTATTGCCTCCGGCAAACGCAGTCACGTTGTTGGCATAGCAGATCCCAGAATTCGGAGGAACTGAAACAGAAAATGTGCTTGTGTGGATACAACGGGTGGATCGAGTAACCCAAATCCACAGAGCATCGAATGAGGTCGTTTTATTGGCAGCATCCAGCAAGCTGATTAAAGCAGCTAAAAAATGGTACGAGATGCAATCAGAACATATATTGGAATCATGGATTGGTCTACATTAAGCCTTACGGCAAATGTTTGAGAGAAAGATACCTTTCTTTATCCGAATGCGTGACATCGCTTTTCAATATGCATTAGAGAAAATGACATTAATGCATGATCTCAATCTTCCAGACAAGGACATGATTATTGGAGGAATAGCAATGGCTTCGCTAAGAGCCACAGCAACCACGTTGGTGATGAATACTGTTGAAGAATTCATAGAAAAAATGAGGATTGTGACGGAAGCCTCTACGGAAGCAGAGAAACGCTTACAGATTTTTCAAAGGAACAAATGGAAGGAGCAGGTTTGCAGAAATTGCAGCAAGAGAGGGCATCAAGCCAAGGATTGTAAGGAGGAGAAGAAGCAGCAATCACAACCCCTCACCTGTTACTTGTGCAAGGCGATGAGATATCTGAGACCAGATTTTCCTTTACTTCAAAAGAAGAAGGCGGCCGGAAGGGTGCAGCCGAAGGCGACAGTGTCGGCGGTGACGTCCCACGAAGAAGAGCAGGAGCAGAGGACGGAGATTGCAGAGCCCACAGAGACTGTAGCGACCATATTGGAGGGACGCAACCTCTTGATAAATAGCTCACCTGTTAAAATTATTAAATTTGATAATAAAGATTGTTTATTGTGCGCGTTGATGACGACGTGTAGTCCGGTCTCATTTATTAAAGCGAGCGTGTACTCTAAATTTTGTGATAAGAATTCGAATAATATGAACAAAAGCACACGCAAGTTTCAAGCGCTCAACAATCTACCGATCGTTACGTGCGGCGTTATACATTCTAATCTAGTTATGGAACAATTTCCAAGTAATCAGTTTCATATCGAGTTAAATGTGTTAAAAGATGATACGTTTCACTACTATATAATCATTGATCGTGATTTTCTCACTCAA